TATATTTTTTTTTTTTTTTCCTTCAGTACACGGGCCTCTCACTGTTGTGGCCTCTCCTGTTGCGGAGCACAGGCTCCGGACGCGCAGGCTCAGGGCCATGGCTCACGGGCCCAGCTGCTCCGTGGCATGTGGGATCTTCCCGGAACAGGGCACGAACCCGTGTCCCCTGCATCGGCAGGCGGACTCTCAACCACTGCGCCACCAGGGAAGCCCTGAATTTATATTTTAATTCTCCCACTATGTATTAAAAAATGAGTAGCCAAAACATAAGCTTAGACTTAATAATGGAAAAAAATAAGAATGATTTTTAAGTGGTTTATTTGGCTTAAAATTCATAAAATGGTGCATTTATGGATTAGTATGAAACTCTACACATTTGATACTGCCCATAAAATTAAAGTATTATTAAAATATGTTGGCTAATGAGAATTTATTAGACCTGCTGACAGAATACCCCTTAACTAAAACCAATTTCCAATATATTTAGGTACCATTTCTAGGCAATAAAAACAAGAAGGCCCATCCAAGACAAATAGGTGTGATAAAGTCAGCTTGGGAGTGGGGAGACTCTCAGTCCAATCTCTTACACATGCACAAGGCTGAGTAACTGCAGTCTGTGCTGATCCATCCTTGTCAACTTTTAATACTTATGACTGATGAAAAGCATGAGACATCTGTTTATTTTTAAGGGTATACTGGTGGCTGGCTTCCTTATTTTCACCCCACCCCTTCTTTGTACAACTGTACAGAATTCATCAAATGCCTAATACACAACATCCACTTGATGCTACTGACCTTCAAGAAAATTAAGTCCTAGAGGGAGATAAAGAAAATAAACAAATGACAGCAATATAAGGCAGACTGTGGTGTTACAGTAGTCAAAACTTCACGTACTCAATATAGTGCTCCCTGTTAAGATAAAATAGGAAAACTGAGGGTTCCTAGCATAGGAAACAGAACAGAAAAGGAACAGAAAAGAGAGTGAGAAAGAGAGGAGATAACATTTACTCAGCACTTAACAGGTGCTAGGCACTGTGCAGGTAGTTTTCACTTACTCTTTTCCAGGGCTCTAAACAAGATAATATCCAAAACAGATGACCATCTACAATAAGAGAACTCCACTCCCCTTCACAAAACGATTCCAATTGCCTAAGTGTATTGTAACGCAAATGCTGTTTATGTAATAATCATTCTAATTAGAATCAGTATTTGGAACTAGAGGGGGGTCTCGGATCACCTAAGTAACCCATTCATCTTATGGACGACGACACTTGGGTCAGACGAGATAAGGAGCCTGTTTAGTGGCAGAATTGGGATCAAACCAATAATCAAGACATCTATACACCACACTGCCGGCAACTGTTTAGTGAAATTCAGTGATTCGTTTTTGCTCTCCAATATGTTACTGAACACCTGTCTATTGGCACTTTTATTAAAATAATCATAAAAATCCGTTTATAAAAATGGCTCAAAATCGCGAAAGAATAACGTACCATTTTCTATATATTTTCAAGCCTCCTGATAAGCAGTAACCTGCGTTTAAACATGTGCCTCCTTCCCTGACTGCCGTCATAAAGATCTCAGATGCGAGGCGAACTGTGTGTCTGTTTTAGGGGCGAGAATCAGGTCGCGAAGGTAAAGACTGCCTCACATAAACCCCGCGTTGAAGATCCCGGCCAGAGCTGCCCGTGCCCCCAGCGAGCCGCAGCCCGCGAGCCCGGCGGGAGGACGGAGGATGAGTGTGCAGTAACGTGGCTCCCGCTCCCTCGGCTCGTCGGCCGCCCTCGTTCCGCCGGGCTGGTTCCGAACGCCGCCCGGGTCGGACCGTTACGGGGTCTCCCGGGCCGCGGCGCCCCGCGGGGGCCGCCCCTCCCCCACCGCGGCCTGAGCCAGCGGCACCGGCCGGGACCCCCGCGGCTCCCCGCGCGAACAATACCGGGGTCCCCCGCGAGGCTGCACGCCGAGGCCCGTGCCACCCCGCCACCCCCGCGCCGCGGGCCTCACAGAGGGCGTTGAGCCGCAGGCCGCGAGAGACAACCCCACGGGAGAGAGCGAGAGAGAAGGACGTTAGTTAGGGGGTTCGGAGGCCGCCGTGCCCTCACCCTTACCTGACTCCAGGTGATGAACTCGTTCGTGTGGGTCTCCTCCACAAGCGTCCACAGCTTGCTGAGGAAAGCCGGCACGTTCGAACTCTGCTTCATTGTTAACGAGGCGCAGGAATTCCTAATTCTACACCCAAACGCGGCGGTAGCGGCGGAGGCGGAGGCGGCGGCAGCGGAGGCGGAGGCGGAGGCGGAGGCGGAGGCGGAGGCGGCCTGCGGTGTATGGACCTCCGATGCACAAAGGCCCTCTGCAGAGACCGGGAGCTAGGGCCTCGGACCTGGTCTCTGAGATGTGGTAACCAGGCGGCCGCACGTGACTGACCAGTCTCCCCGCTCGGCCTGTGCTCACTGGTCCCGCGCCGGTCCGGTTCCCGACCAATCCCAGGAGCCGACCGCACAACAGAGGAAAGCAATTGGATGCTGCAGATGGGGAGGGGTGGGAGCAAAGGGGGACGCTGCTTTCTCATTCGCCCTGTCTATAGGAGCTCTCGCCGTAGCGGATCTTCTGCTTGGGCGACTGTGTTTGGTTGTTTCACGTGGAAGCAGATTTGGATGTTTGGGCTCTGGCTGGAAGGCTACAGAAAGTCCTCAGGGGCCTTTGAGTCATAAGTTTGGTAGGCAAAGTGTGGGTTGCGCCAGTCAGGCAGGAGGAAGGAGTGTTAATACTTCGCACGGGGGGAAAAAAACAGCTTTCAAGCATGATTTGCTAGGCCCCAAATTGAAACTGTGTTAATAATAATGAACCTTGTCCTTAAATTTTCATTAGGAAAAAAATCGTTCCTATAAAACACATTTATCAAATAGAGGAATTTAAATAAGTCACTCTTTACTAAGCACGTACTACAGTGAACCAAGAACTGTAATAGGCAGCTTACATGCTGTTTAACAGACATGGAATGCGCACTATGTGCGCAGCATAAAAAGAAATAGTATCATTTATTCTGTTTTAATCAATTAAAATAATTGTTCCTGTAGGTACTTTACAGGTATGTTCTTAAGATAATTATCCCTGTATGTCCTTTACAGATTTGGTATAGTGGAAAAAATATTGGACAAGGAGTCAGCATATGAGTTTAGACCCAGCTTCAAGGACACATTAGTGGATATTTAATTACACTGGTAGTGTGTGTAATTAGAGCTATCCCTTAATCTGTCTGTGCCGGTCTTTCCCATCTCCTCATTGGGAATAAAACTGTCTCTCTTTTCACCCCTTAAGATAACATTAATAACATAGGAGGTTTGAAAATATAAAGAATTGTACAAAATTTAAAAATTTTTATGAGTCAGAATGTAAACATAAGAATGTACAAACAAGTCAGAGATAATAATTAACATTTTATAAGAAATTCAACATAGGATTGGTTTACCTCCTGGGTACATGTAATTTAATACAATAAAAAATAAAATACATACAATTTCCAACAAGCATATATTTATTGAAATTTGTGTTTGACTTTGTGTCTAGCAATGATCTGTTTGCTGAAACAAAATCAGATGTGTGGTGGGAGGCATCCAATAAATGAACTAATATTTGATGAACACTTAAATATGCCCAGGGTTTTACATATATTATATCATTTAATCCTCACAACAACCCAGTGCAGTAGGTCTTATTATCCCGTTTTTCCAATGAAGATTCTGAGACTCAAGAGCAAGTTTACCTATATCACTGCTAGTAAACAAGAAGAGGGTATTTACACTCAGGCTTTATTGAGTTCGAAAGCCTATGTTCTTTCCATTGTATGATGATGACACCATCTCAATACTTAAGATGTTTATACTCTGACTTAAGACACAAGACAAACACAATGATGAGCAATCATTAATATTTAAAAAATAGCTAAATTTGTCATATAACTACTGAAACATTTAGAAAGACAGAGTTGAGTGAGTTAAGTTCGTAAGGGAAGAATTCTCAGAGGATGGGGACCTTAAGTTGGGTCTTGAAGTACAAACGCATTTGGCTAGCTAAAAAGAAAACAACACTGAGCAAAGATGGGGAGGCCAATGAGCACCGTCTGCCTGTGGAGATTGACAGCACAGGAGGTAGTGTCTGAGGAGAAAATGTGGCCCACTTTCATGGCATTGTATTGTTTCCATCTAAAAACAAAACAAAATGGTGTGGTTAGATACAAGCAAAAACAACTCTTGGGCATTCAACCTGTGTAGTTGTAGGCCTATGCTTAGTAGGGCCCCTTACTTGGTTTGATGCTCTGCTGTCACCATATTGAAATTCTTAGTTTTTGAACAAAGGACCCTGTATTTTCAAGTTGCTTTGGGCCTCTCAAATTACATAGCTGGTCTGCTTCCAATATATTACACTTATAGACCAGTGGTTCTCAAACTTAAGCATGTATCCAAATCACTTGGAGGCGGAAGACTGTCAATATAACAGATGATCAGTTATCACTTATAATACTCACAAGGCCAGCTATGGGGTTATTAACCAGATAATGTGATGATGGCACCAGGAAATAGATGATGTGTCTAAAATCAAATGTCTGGGGTTGGAATGGAAACCATGTCTTTCATAGTCTGAAACATATGCTTTCTTCCTTTATACCAATGTGCCTCAAGCTTTAACCTACATCAGAATCACCTGGAGGGCTTCTGAAAAAACAGACTGCTTCTTCTCCCCCACTCCCCAGCTCCACTCAGTAGATCTGGGGTTCAGGCTAAGAATTTGTATTTCTAACAAGTTCCCAGGTAACGCAGAAACTGTTGGCCCTCGGACCACACTTTGAGAACCATTGTTATATAGGAAAAGTTAGTAAACTGACTTTCCCTTGCTAACATTTACAGACTTATTGCTACTCAAAATCCAGACTTTCCAGGAATAATTTAAACTACTGTGCTTTCTTTTTCTATGAACATAATCTTTAATATTTATTGTAATTAATAAACTCTTTGAAAACTTTAAGTACTGATTAGAGACATTTGGGGGAAAAGAAAATCACTATTGGCTTGTTTCCACCTAAATATAAAACTGAGAAGGGAAGAAAACCAAATCAAACTAATTCACAATTATTTGCCCCCTACAATATCCCACAAATATCAGAAGAAACATATTTGAGCCAGTGTCAACAATTTTGAAATGTTTACAATACTAGAGGATAAAAATGTCACTTTCTTAAAGTGAATTGCCTCCTGTTGGCTACAAATTAGAAAAGTTGGAATATTTCCATGGCTCACTTGCAGCCTGGAATGTAAGATTTAGAAGATATAGAATAACATTAGAAAATATGAGTGACCCAGACCTTTGCCTAGGAAATAGAAAAGCATACTGTGGTGTGCTTTGAAACTTCAAAGTGTCTGATTCAAATTGTGTAAATTCTATCTAATCTATTATGCAAAACTACTTGGAGTCGGCACTACAACCAGAACTAGCTTGTAATTATTATTTTCAAGGATAGCAAGACTGAAGCCAAAGGCTAACTGCATAGAGGTTTCCAGCTATTTATATTCCTATCAGGACCAAGTGTTGATTTTCGTCAATTTTGGAATGGCCAATGGGGCCTTAAGCCAATCACTTGACACCTCTAAATCTTAGATTCTTCCATGTAAAATGTGAGTAAAAATACCTGTTATACTCACTTCACAGAGTGGTTTTGAGAATTTGATAAACTGCTTCTTCCTCCAGTCCACGCTCACAATCTTTACAGAGATCTTTCCAAGACACAAAGCTGAAAAGGTCACTTCCTGACTTAAAACTGTTCAGCGGCTTCCCATTATTTTCAGAATAAATCCAAACCCCTTAAAGATGGCATAAAATGACCTTCTGTGACCTGATGCCACCTACAATTTCAGTCATTGTCTACCACTCTCCACAAACACCTAACCCTTAGCCACACCCAAATCTTGTACTTACCTTGCAGATCATGTGCTTCCATACCTCTACATATGTCCATGAGCTGTTGCCTCTGTGTGGAGAGCCCTTCTTCTTCCCCATTATCCCAAAGGAAAGTTCCTCCTTAACCTTCAAGGTCAAGTACAATTCCATACTGAAGTCACCTTTCAGTCAAACTCTCCCTGGAGCCCTTTATAATAGCACTTATTAATAACTAAATAAATAACTACTTGTCATTTATTTACATGTGGTTTTTTCATACTAGGCTATGAAACACTTTCAGCATAAAGACTAAGTCATATTTACATTTATTCTCATCTAAAATGGCTCTCACAGTGCTGGCACACATAAGACTCTCAATAAATATTTATTGAATTAAGCAATGAATACGTGAACAGATGAGTGCTAACCATCCATTTAATCTTCCATGACCCCCAAATTTGGAAGACTCGTTCCCCCCCTTTGCCCCCATAGCATGTGGAACTTGACCCTCATGGTATTTGCCACGTTGCAGTTGCTCATTTACTTCTCAGCAACCCTCACTAGCCTAGCAGATTGTGCTTGCGTTGTTCACTCTTGTATCCTTAGCAGTTAGCACAGTGCTATAATATAGCAACAGCTCAATAAATATTTGTTAATGAATAATTTTAGTTTCTGATACCGTTTGCATAAAATACACTCTACTTAATAATAAAGAAACACCTTACAACTTATTAAGGCTCAGTCCATACAAACTTTTTAGTTTATAGGAGAAGAGGATGAAGAGAAGGGGAGCTTAAGGATAGCTCAGCTGAAAGGTATGTGATTGAGGAGCTATTTGTGGAATAAGTATCAGAATCCTGGAAATGCCAGACGTTGATGGAATGTCATAGAGTCCCAGGCTTGAGGTCATTTGTCTTTGAAACAAACAAACCTTTGGCAATAGCAGCAAAATGCTTAAAGACCCTATGGCTTTTGAATAAGTAGAGGGCTAGGAGACTGTGAAAGTTAATTTCTTAACATTTTCAGGAAGGTCAAAGAAGAATCTTCTTTCTTTCTAAGGCTACAACTTGGATGTAAAAGGGACTGGCCGGAGGAGCTTTTTAAGTAGGAAATGTGTTAGTATCACTGTACCAGCCTTGGGCTGGCACTGCTGTACATGAAACTTCCATTGTATGCCACATGTGCTAAAATCCAGCCAATCACCCAACGACAGTGACAAACTGGTCCAGATTTGTGCAGGACTTGCCCATTTTAGTACTGCAAATTCTATGTCCCGGGTACTACCTCAGCCCCAGGCAAACCAGGATGGTTTGTTACCGTAACTCCAGCCTCTTCAAGC